TCTCCCAGCTGGCGTCCTGCTCGGTAGTTTGGCTACCGCCTGCTGGTCATGCTCTCTTCCAGCCCCTGGCCTCCCTTGCTCCTATTCCCTCTCTTTCTCTGGCTCTCCCACCCGCCGGAAGCTGGGCAAGCCTCCCTCCTTCTCCCAGCAGGTGGGCTGGGGCTGGAGGCCGGCGTTCCTTTCGGGTTGGATTGCCAGGGCCAACAGGACAAACAGCAGGTAGGTCTGGGGAGGGGGTGCAGTGGGTGTGCTTGCCCTAATTGGGGAACACCCAGGGCAGGTGCTGGGGATGAGTAAGTTTTAATGGGGGCACAGGTTCCCCAGGAAGGAAGCCCAGCGTCTGGCAGGTGAGCTGGGTTCCCCACCTTGGCCTAGGTCCCCTTTCCCTCCCGGCCTCCAGCACAGCCAGGCCTTCAAGCGAGACAGGAGCCCAGCCGGTTCAGAGATGAAGGAAAGCATGTGTGTCTTGTGGTTGTGACAACTGTCACCTGCAGTCCCAGGGAGGTGGGGGGAACCTTCCTTGAACCTGGGACCCACCCAGATTCAAATCCTGTTGCATTTTCTAGCCATGCCAGTTTGAACACATTCCTCCACGTCCCTGAGCCTTATTTTCCTGCTTAGATCTAGTGATTTGATAGAAATAATGATCATCGCTGACATTTCTGAGTTGGGCTTCTCTGCAGTGCCCATGGGTGGCGGGGCTCCTTAAGGACAGTGACTGACCCAGGTCAACCCTGGGGCTACTGTCTCACACTTATAGGGGACTCAGGGGTTGTTTGTAAAGATAAAAAAAGAACAAATGAATGAATAAACATCAGTTTTGACAAGGAAGGACAGGACTGTGGGTTTGGAAATACCTTTTCCCCAGCACTTGGAAGAAACCCTCGTTTTTTTTTAATATAATTCCTTCCACCCCATCCCTCTCCCACGCCCACTGCCACTCCCAGAAGTGGTGGTCCTCCCAGCTTCCTCTATTTTCTCATCTGCAACGAGGAGCACTGGGGACTTGGGTGGGGCAGGGGGTACTAACCCCAAGCTTCTCCTGGTTCAGCTCCATCACCCTCTCAAACCCCAAAGCACCCAGCTTAAAGGATTGAGTCTGCTCCTTTAGGGCCACTCCTGTGAGCTCCGAACCGCCCCCTACTCTCCCCCGTCTTCCCCATCTGTGAATTCGGGCTGAGGACCCCTCCGTGGCAGGTCCCGGATGCCCAGAGGCCTCGCAGCAGGGGGTACTCCGCACGGGTTTTCCCAGCGCACGGCCCCTCGCCCTTTGCAGCCGCGGCGCAGGCCACGCCCCCACCCTGTCGGCGGCCCCGCGGCGTTGCCGTGGCGACGCGTGTACACAAGCCGGGCGGGTGCGCGGGGTGCGGGCCGCTGGCTGGAGACTCCGCGTGAGCGCGGCCGGGAGGCCTCGCCCCGGAGCGGGCCTGGCGCCTCGCAAGCCCGCCAGGCTCTCAGCGGAGGACGGAGCGTGGGCGTCTTCCTCTGGCCAGGTGAGTGCGGCACGCGAGGAGGCGGCGGGCGGAGACCTGGGCCTGGCGGGCCAGCTCTGCGAGGTCAAGGGCTGGGGTGGCGGGGAGTGACCCGGCCTCACCCCAGCCCCTCTCCTATCCAGACTCCTGTCCCCAGGAGCGCCCCAGAGGAAGTGCCTCAACACCAATCCTTCCTAAGTGCAGCCCTCCAAAACCGAGGTAGCCCGCGCGGAAGCTTTAGGACCCCCTTGGCACCACCGCTGGGATGCCCCGTGGGGTACAGCTGGGATTAGAAAGGGCGCACCTAGGTTCTCCGGACTTAAGAGACACCACCACCCAGTGGTCAGAGATCCCGCTTACCTGACCTCCCCTCTGAGGAACTTGACAGCTCCCAGGCCACTGCAGACTGGCAGCCGTCAGAAGAAACGTTGCTGCTACAGCCCATTCTGACCCAACGCAGGGTCGGGGGACGCCCACGCTTCACGGTGGCTGGTGCTCTGTGGCACTGAGAACGAGGTTACAGAGTTGAACGCGTTCAAATTACTTTCTGCAGTGCTTGCAGGCAGGGAAGTGACAGCACAGGGCAAGATTAAGGTGGAGAAATGTTGTCCCACCCAAAAGCTAAAGAGATTTTAGGTTTTCCAAAAAGTCATCTAGGACAGATAGTGAAGGGTAAACGAAGGCCGCTCCGGTCAAAGATTCCTTGCCAGTGAGCTGCTTTAATTGCTTTGAGGCGTCATTTTGAATTTTCCTTCATGCCACAAGTACTTACTGAGCACAGACTATGTGGCAGGTGTTGCTCCAGGCGCTGGATACGAGGTAAAGAACAAAGCCGTCAGGAACTCCGAAGGGTTCGAGGCGAGGCGTTAGCCTGCCCACCTTATAGATGCTGGCGGAAGACAGGAAACGTCTGCGCCACAGACAGACGCCTTTATTATTCACCACGGAGCAGACGCAGCAGCAACCAGAGCGTCACATCCACGCTGGTTCCCCTGCCCTGAAAGTTCCTTGGGGTGGCGCAGAACAGCAGAGGTGGGTGCTGGGCACTCAGTAGGTCTGTATCCCAGCTAAGAAGCTTTAAGCACAGAAAACCCCAATCTCTAGAAGGGGCCACTAGCAAATTTGCCTGACCATTGCCCCCAAAGGAGGCGATATCTTCGTTATTAGCGTTACCTTTATTCTCCCAGGCGGGTTGCCCTACAGACAGCCTTTGAAAGAAAGTGCAATGCCTTTGCTCCGAAGATGGTACCCACACCAGAAACCCATGAAGAATTCTGTCAACAAAAACAGCACAGTTCTGGCTCTCCTGGAACAGATACCTTAGTGAAAGGGAAACAAACAGCAAACACAAATAAATAAAAGAATAGGGAAATGCCAGAGAATGGTAAGTACAAGGAAGGGAGCACAGCCGGGAGACAGGCGAGCCAGAGAGTGCAGTGCTGGAGGGTGCCTTTAGCCAGAGCAGTCAGATGGAGACCTCTAAGGGGAGACATCAGAGCAGAGAGAGAGCACCAGCCCTGGGAACATCTAGGGTGAGAGCGAAAAAGCAGATATGCACGTCACCCAAGTGTTGGGCTTTAGTTGAACGGCCTTCCCACAGAAGAGACATCTTGCACATTTATACTCTAGATTAATTAGGCTTGAACGTGTTGCTTGAGAACACGGTCTCCTGCAATTGAAGACGAACAACTGAAATGATTTGATGGCAAGAGGGCACGCTTCTTTTGGAAAAATGTCTTCCCTCCTGTATTAATGACAGCAAACTTAATAAAATTTGTTTCTCATGATATGAAAGCCTTGATATTTGTAAGGCATCCACAGGCCTCAGAGTTTACAATATAAAATAAAACTAGGTGGCCTGTTTTTGTTTCTCGTACTAGTGGGGGGGGGGTCCTTTCAGAGGATAGAATCCTGTTTTCAGAGACTCTCCGTTATTGCCTGCCCCCACGTGTCAATGGGCAGTGTAACTCACTGACCCCACTCTGTCCCTCCCAGCAGCCATGGATGCCTGATAATTGAACCGCACGATAGCGCACTAGTGACATGGAAGTCCTCAGAGTTCTCTCCCTGAGACTTACTGCTATGTGACCTTAGCCTCTCCGAGTCTCAGTTTCCCCGTCTGTAAAGTGGGACAATACTGATACCTAGCTCGCAGGGTGGTTGTGAGGACAAAAAGAAGCGATGTGTATAAACAGAGAGCACCGTGCCTGGCACTTTGTGGGGCTTCGGGAAATGCTGATGGAGATGTTGATGGAAAGCAGAGCCAGACCTGATATGCACATGATCGCAGCTAGATGGCTTTGTAAAATCCACAGTCCAGCAACTTCACATTTCACTGTGAACTTTCCATTGAAAAGAGAGGGACTTTTCGTTCTTTGACATGGCATTGGGATGGAGGGTGTCGCGCTGTTGTTGGACACACCTCAAATCAGAATGCAAGCATCATGTGAAGTAGCACCACTATTTTGGAACCTGCTGAAGTCACTGAAATTTTTATGTTTTGAAAAACCTGTATAGAACTTACTTTGAAATGCATCATTAAAATACAAAATGGATGAATGAATGGTAGCTGGATAGATATGTGATCAAACAAATACAACAAAATGGCAATTGTAGAATCCAGGAGGTGGGTATACAGGAGTTCCCCATCCACTTCTTTCAACCTTTCTGTGCATTTCACATTTTTATAATAAAATATTGGGAAAATATATGTGCAGAGTCCTGATCATATGGCCAAGCTACAATCCTGGTACCTGGCCTACATCATCCTTTTGTTCCTAAGTATATGAAGAAGTTGAGTAACTTTCTAAAAAAAAAAGTCATTTAAAACTCATTTCCTCAAAGACTGAATCGATACTTGAAGAGGCTCTATAGAAGCTTAGAGGTCCTTGGATCAGAGTTCAAGAAGCCCAAGATTAATGACAATAATGAGAGTCGTAGTACATAGGTGTGTTTCATGTATAGCAGTCACCATTCTAAATGCTTCACACATATTGCATTTAATCCTCATGAAATCCTTTGGGGTACAGAGTATTATAAACCCCACTTTACAGATAAGAAAACTGAGGCATAGAGAATAAGTAGCTCACCTACTTATTCTAAGGTCACAGAGCTAGGAAGTGGAGGGTTAGGAACACTGAATGTGAATACTTGATATGTGAGATAAGTATCCCCATACCAAGTTTAAGGGGAGTGGAGAATAATAACAGGGGAATTTGGATTCGTCATTGGTGGTTTTAGCTTTAGCTTGTGCTCTGAGTTACATAAAAATGTCTTCTACTTGATTATCAGAACCAAGCTCACCTATGCTAGACGTCACAGCTGAAGAGCTAGTCTTTACAATATGCAAAATCATAATTGTGATCATTGGTAAGTCCATCTACCCACTCCCACCTCTCCTGACCCCTCCTTCGGACGCGCCGATATATTTCACGCATTCCAAATATGATGTTGAATAATTAGAGGGCTACATCTTTCTAACAAATGTTTATTTTTTCCTGAAAACCTTGTATAGGGAAAGCAGAGAGGATGAAAGCCTATCTAAAGAGCGCAGAAGGCTTCTTTATCCTGAATAAAAGTACTACGATTGGAAGGCATGAAGACTCAGACCTTGTTTTAGAGGTAAGAACTCTTCCCGCCCCTTCCCCAGCCCTCCCCCGCCCCAGCCCCCTCCAAAAGCTCTTACTGTTTTGTGGACTCAAGTGTCTCCTGAAGCACAACCTCTGGCTGACAACCACATCTTCCCTTGATGTGCGGCCAATAACTAATTTTCAAATGTGCTGGATTTCCCTGGAAAATGTAGTGAAAATGAGCTTGATGCAAAGTGCCGTGTGCCCTCTGTCCTTGGCCGACCCTGCTTGGGGATGTCTCACTCATTGTCCCCTCCCCAGCAGCCTGATGCGGTGCTTTGGAAGGCGGGCGTAGAGTCAGTCACCTTCACTTGCTTCCCTTGCTTCAGGCCTGATAGCCAGAGCCACCGGAGTGCCCGCCCGGCCGGGGCGAGAGAGGGTGTGGGAGGGAGAGAGAAAGGGAGAGACACATCGATGTGCGAGAAAAACATCGGCCGCCCCTCACATATGCCCTAACCAGGGACCAGACCCACAGCCCAGGCATGTGCCCTGACCAGGAATGGAACCAGATACCTTTTGTTTTGCGGGATGATGCTCAACCCACTGAGCTACACTGGCCGTGGCGCTTGCCAGAGTCTTTGGAGACTGTTGTGGGCTCCTCAGAGGCCACAGACCTCCAAGCAGTAAAGTGGCAGAGATCCCACTCCCGAGCATTTATTCCAGGGAAATGAAAGCTTATGTCCGCCCAAAGACCTGTACACAAATGTTTATAGTAGATTTATTTGTTACAGCCCCAACCCGAAAACAATCAAAATGACCTTCAATATGTGAATAGTTAAACAAAGGTGGTGTGCCTATACCATGGACTATTGTCCAAGCAGTAAAGCTGTGGGCATGGCCTCAGCATATTCTTGTTTCATTTCATTCTCTGAATTAGCTGTGGTTTGGTCCAGAGCCTCAGCTCCTTGACTTCCAAGGAAGAAGCTGGAAGAAAGGAAGGAATAATGAAAGCAGTGGCTTTCAGCCTTTTTTAACTATTGAAGGGGATTAAAATATTGAAGCAGAGAGAGAAAGCAATGGAATCCCTTTAAAACTGGGAAAGGCATGTCTCTCTCCGACCTCACTGAACAGATTGCCCTTTAACCTTTTATTTTGAAATAACTATAGATTAACGAGAAGTTCCAAAAATAGAAAAGAGGTAGATACTGGCTACCCTTCACCTAGTTTCTCCTAATTGGTTACTTATTATCTAGCCATAAGCATATCAAAACCAGGAAATGGACATTGGTACAAAGCATGTGTTTGGCTCTATGCCATCTGTTGCATGTGGGGAACCGTGTGTGGCCATCAAGCTTTAGAACTATTCTGTCATCAAAGGTCTCCCCTGTGATATTCCCTCATAGTCACAACACCTCCTCCCAGCTCGGTCCCTGCACCCTGACAGCCACCAGTCTGTTCTCCATTTCTATAATGTTTATCTCTTTGAGACTATTCTATAAATGGACTCAAATAATATGCAACCTTTTGAGATTTTTCTTTTATCACCGTAATGTCCTTGAGACCCATTCAGATTAGCCTGTCCCTTTTATTGCTGAGCAATAGTCCATGGTATAGACACACCACCTTTGTTTAACTATTCACATATTGAAGGTCATTTTGATTGTTTTCGGGTTGGGGCTGTAACAAATAAATCTACTATAAACATTTGTGTACAGGTCTTTGGGCGGACATAAGTTTTCATTTCCCTGGAATAAATGCTCGGGAGTGGGATCTCTGGATCACATGTTAAGTATGTGTTTGGTTTCTAGAGAACCTGCCAGACTGTTACCCAGGGTGACTGCGCCATACTTCATTCCCACCAGCAATGGATGAGACGTGTCTCTCCGCATCCCGGCGAGCAGTTAGCATTATCACCAGTACTTATTTTCGCTGTTAGTGTGCAGTGATATCTGATCATGATTTTGATTTGCATTTCCTGAATGGGTAGCGATGCTGAGTATTTTTTCATGAGTACTTATTTGCCATCTGCATATCCTCTTTGGTGAAGTGACTCCTCGTATCTTTTGCCCACTTCTAATCGGATTATTTGGTTTTCTACTATTGAGTTTTGAGAGTTCTTTATGTATTTTAGATACGCGTCCTTTGTCAGGCATACGGTTTGCAAGTATTTTCTCCCATCTGGAGTTTGTCTTTTCCTTCTCTCAACAGAATATTTCACAGAGCAAAAGTTTTAAATTTTGATGAAGTTTAGTTTATCGTGCTTTTCTTTTATAGATCCTGGTTTTAACATGTCACCAAGCCCTTGATCCTGAGGCTTTTTATGTTTTCTTCCAAAAGTTGTATAGTTTTATGTTTAACTCTATGGAACTTTTTGAGCTCACTTTTGTATATGTTTAGGTCAAGTTTTATTTTTATTACTTGTAGATATTCAGTTGCTCCAGAACTGCTTGTTGAAAAGGCCGTTCTTTCTCCATTGAATTGCTTTTGCAACTTTGTCAAAAATCATCATACTGGGAGGAGGAGGGTGGTGGCTATTTCTGAGTTCCCAATTACTTTTCATGGATCTTTATGCCTCTCCCTCTACCACAATGACATGGTCTTGATTCCTGTAGCTATCTAAGTCTTAAATCAGGTACGGTGGTTCTTCCCACTTTAGTCTTCTGTAAAACTTTTTTTAACCTGTTCTAATTCTGTTGCCTTTCCATACAAATTGAAGTAATGTCTGTCTTTGCAAAATATCTTGCTGCAATTTTGATAGGAGTTGTTTTTAAACCTATATATCCTCATGAGAAGAATTGACATCTTTACTATGTTATCTTCCATCCATGAACATTGCATGTTTCTCCATTTGTTCAGGTGGTCTTTGAGTTCTTTCATGAGTGTTGTGTAGTTTTCAGCATGTTAAGTTCTATACATGTTTTGTTATAGTTACACTTGTTCCTCCCTCTCTGACTGTAAATGGTATTATATTTTTATTTTTGGAGTCCACATGTCATTGGCAATAAATACAATTGATTTTTGTATGTTTATATGGTAACTTGCAAACTTAACTGAACTTTCTAGAAGGCTTTTTATAGATTTCTTGGGATTTGATACACAGTCATGTCATCTGCAAAAAGAACAATTTTATTTGTCCTCTGAGAAAAGGAGATCTGAATGCCTTTAATTTCCTTTTCTTGCTTTATTGCACTGACTACAACTTCCAGTCCTCTGTTCAATAAGAGTAATAAATGCAGTGCAAACCTTTCTGTTTTCTTATTCCTGATCTCAGGGGGAAAAACATTCCGTATGATGTTAACTGTAGGTTTTTGGTAAAGGTTCTTAACAAGTTGAGAAAGTGCACCCTTATTCCCTAGTTTTCTGAGAGTGTTTATTATAAACTCAACAGATTTAAAAATAACTCAGTGGGCCTCCCCTTGAGATTCTCATCCATACTGTGGTCTCCCCACAAGAACACAGATCTGTTCAGTGGACAGAGTGGGGGTAAAATAGAAAAAGAAATAAGAATTTCAGTTTCTCCTTTATCATAACAGGGCATAGATTTCAAGTTGCTTTATTTCCTGCCTGGCCAAAGTTGAGACAGAGAGCTCTATTTTGCACCTGCCTATGATATTAGAAAACAATAGTAATTTTCAAAAGCACAGGCTTTGGAGATAGACAGACCTGGAACTGAATCTCATTAGACCACTTTCTGGCTGTGCGACTTAAAGCAAATTAATCAAATTAACTGCTCTGAGCTCATCTTCCTTGTCTACAAAACACTTATCCCACAGGTCTGTGAGGATTAAGAAAGAAATGCACTTAAGGTGCCTGGCACCTGATGCTAGTAAATGACACCAAGTCTGTTATTGCTGTTCCATCAAATGGAGGCTGAGAAGAATCCTCAGGGGGACCCAGGCATACGATGAGGATCCACTGATATTAACAAGCTGTTTGGAAAAGGGAATTAATGAGGACAGTTATTATGTGGACAGAAATTGAGTTGCCTTCATTGTATGAAAAATAATTGACTGTTTACCGCTCCTTGGACCTCATTTAAGAAGTCACCGCTGCCAGCAGCAGTCACATTGATTTATGAAGAAATAAGTTGCATTTCCAGAAGTGCAGGCTTATATTGGCTCCCTGGAGAACAGATGATACATGGGTTGCCAAATGTTTCGTGAGTAAGCTTGGTGGGCACTTCTATCTTCTCTTAGACAAATTCTCTTCCCAAAACTTAAGTGGATTTGGGAGAGGAGATTTGCTTTAAAAAGGGATGTGGGGACACAGGTCCATTTTGAAAAATGGAAACCTGCAAATATGTCAGCATTTTCTAGTTTTATAGAACAGGACACAGTGAAAATTGTCCCCGTCGGCTGACTTTGTTGGGCCTTTCTGATTAGAAGACTCACCCTTGATTGGTCCTGGGCCACCCTAAGGTATAATTCAAAAGTCAATTTGTAGTTTTCACTAGAAGTCATGCCATTAAATTAAGTTCAGATATTAATAAAAAGTTGTCCTTGAAATTACCCAGAGGTTACCTCTAGAAAATAAAGAAGACTTTTTTTTTAACTTGGATAAATCTTAAAGAATAGGTAGTCATGCTTCTAAAGACTTACACTCATTTGCAAGGCTGACATATTGTTTTGATTGTTGATATAATACAGGGTAGGGGAAAAAGTAGGTTTACAGTTGTGAGTATATGAAACACAGAGTTTATACTTGTATTATTATTAATTACTGTATTATTTTCCCTATGAACAACAGTAAACGTACTTTTGCCCCACCCTGTATTCTGAAATCATTGACTTTCTCTGGCATTGGAAGGTAGTTACATGCTTATTATTTTTTTACAATGAGGGAAAGCAAACTATAGGGAAGAAAAGCCACTTGTAATCATTTGGATCAGAGGAAATTAATATTGATATTTAGAGTTTTGCCCTCCAGACTTTTTCCTATATCCAGTAAGGAGTTTGGTTCCCTAGGAGCAGTAGGAAGCCTGTGTTCACCAGCCGAGGTTTTGCTGTTGTTGTCACTCATTCCTTCCACAAATATTCACCTGGAGCCTTAGCA